TTTTTTTTTTTTTTTTTTTTTTTTTTGCAGTATGGGGCATTGAACTCAGGACCCTGCGCTTGCTTGCCAGGCAAATGCTTATTCTATTGAGCTATCTCCCTGGCCCTTTCTTTTCTTTTCTTTTCTTTTTGAGACAGGGTCTTACTATGTAGTCCACCCTGACCTAAACTTACCATGTAGCCCAGGCTGGCCCTGATCTCATTGCAATCTTCCTGCTTCAGCCTCCTGAGTGCTGGGATTACAGGGGTGCACCAGTATGCCCTACAGAAAGATTATTTTTGGGGGGCCGGGGAAATAGCTCAGTAGAATAAGCACTTGCCTGGCAAGTTCAGGGGCCTGAGTTCAATCCCCGGTTCCGCCAAAAAAAAAAGATTATTTTTTTCTGTGTATTTAGTACAGGGCCTACAGGGTGTTCAGGGTCTCACTACGAAGATTGGACTCGCATTGATCCTCCTGTTTTCAGCCTCCCAAGTGCTGGGATTGCAGGCTCAGGCCACCAGCCCAGTCTCAGTCCCTGTCTCAGCGCGCCGCGGGGGCGGGGCCGGCGCAGCTCGCTGGGGATGGCGTCCCGGCCGGCCGCTGCACGCTGCCTAAGCAGGCGCTTCAGTCTGCTGAGCTCTCTGGCCGGTCCTACATAGATGTTTGAAGGAGGACTTTCAGAACTGCTTCAGAAAGCAACAAGAATGAAGGAATCTGTGTTTATAGCACGGGAGAGGACTGTGAGGAAGGGAAATGGCGGCGTGACTTTTACTGTAGTGATTAAACATTTTTTAATTTAAATATTGATGGTATTTTGTGATCAAACCCCAAAGGAAGTACGCTGGGACGTTCTGCTATGTGACACGTGGAATGATCACCCAAGGTGAAGTGTGAAGTGGTTAGATTAAGCTAATTTATATATCACCTCCCTTCCAAACTTTTTTTTTTATAAACCTCTGCAATTAGTTTATTAGTATCATCCAGGACTCAGATGTTCAGTATTCCTCCTAAAGTACATAAACAAATACAAATGGAAAGAATCCAAGTTAAAATTATGTAACAAAACAGCACTCCATCACAAAAGCGTGTAAAATCACAAGAACCCTATTTTAAAACACTGGCACTTTAAGAGGGATAATTTCAAAGCCCACAAAATAGCCAAATTTTTCCTTAAACTGCTAAGCAGACAAACATGACTCTAATAGTTTTGTCAAGGACAACTCAAATAAATTGGGTAATCCATACTTTTTTTTAATATTTATTTATTTTTATTACATTTATTTATTGTGTGTGTGTGGCCAGCTCAGCCCACCAGGGGGCGGGTCTGGCTGGCATGTGCTGCTGGGGATCGAACCGCAGTCCCTGTGCTTTGCCAAGCTTGTTTCAAGTAGGTGCTTTAGACCACTGAGCCATCTCTCCAGCCCTGGTAATCCATACTTAAGATGTGAAACTTTTCTTCTAAATGGGAGACCCTAAGATAGAAAATCTATCCTTTTCTAATTTGTGGCCTAACTTTAAAACTTTTACGGGTCAAGTTTCCTGAGCAGTCCATATTTAGATAAATGGGTAAAGGCATGCACACCAGCACTTCCCCTGCCTTCACTGTGAATGCTAACCAAACACTGGAGTCCTGTATTTTAAGCTCACCTGTTGGGGATATATTCCTGGGCCTCTTTTAATGTGGGAACTGCACAATGTAACTGCCGTTACATGGTAATGGGAGTGAAGAGTCCTCATGTAGAGATCAGAACGTTATTTTTTTCTATGAGTCCTTCAAAGACAGACTTTCAGATTGCTTGATTCTAATAACTTCATGCTATCTATCTATGAACAAAACTAATCACTCTTTACAAAGGGCTATGTGAAATTTTTTTATCAATAAGTGAGATTTTGGAGTTTTATGGATTAAAATGTTCTCAGTTTGACTTTTACTACCCCATCACGATATGCAGGGTGTGTAGATAGAAGCTTGGCATCCGCTAACTATATGAAAAGATAAACACTCATAATTCATGTGATTCAAAATGGGCAAAAGCAAAAGACTAGCTTCCTTTCAAGAAGTTTCAGACCTATGAAAAGCACAACAATACCAACAAAAAAAATTGTATTTACTTAGAAGCATTCAGAATGTCAACAAAACAGTTGCAACTTTTTTTTTTTTTTTTTGCAATTGCAGAGTGGTATTCAGTTAACAGAACAACAATTATTTCGTATAAGCTGCATCAGAGACAACTGAAGAGGAAAAACTACCATCCCCATGTATAACTAATCTGTGCTTCGCACCAACAAGACCCTGCTTTAAATGTCCACTCCAATTTACAACCCCCATACTGTACCAGGCAAGGTTAGTGGCTACTGAAAATCCCACCAGGACAGGGCTACCTAAACACACATTCGGTAGTGTGTGAACTGTACAAAAAAAAAGACACTGTATAGTTTAAAAACAAATCTTACACAGCTTTACATTTCAATTTTTTTTTTCTTTAAAAGCAGTGAGTTGTGTACAGGGGGGTTAAATGCTTTATAGACAAGAAAAAAAACCCACTAGAACCAGCTTATTCATAATCATCCTCTTCTTCATCCTCCTCATCCTCTTCTTCATCTTCTTCTTCCTCTTCATCCTCATCTTCCTCCTCCTCCTTCTCTTCCTTCCTTTTCTTGCTTTTTTCAGCCCTCACGACTCCCTTTTCTGCTGCATCAGGTTTTCCTTTATCCCAGTAGGCAGCGATGTCCTTTTCATACTTTTCCTTTGGCTTAGCAACCTTTTTCCTATATGGCTGCTTGTCATCTACTGCAGTATTATTCCACATTTCTCCAAGTTCCTTTGTGACATCACCAATGGAGAGGCCAGGATGTTCTCCTTTGATTTTTGGGCGATACTCAGAACAGAACAAGAAGAAGGCTGAAGGAGGCCTCTTGGGCGCATCGGGATCCTTGAACTTCTTTTTTGTTTCTCCTTTAGGAGGAATATAAATTTTCATTTCTCTTTCATAATGAGCCCTGTCTGCCTTTGCCATACTTCAAATTTTCCTTTTTCTTTAGCAGACATAGTCTTCCACCTCTCTGAGCACTTCTTAGAAAAATCTGAGAAGTTAACAGAAGCATCTGGGTGCTTCTTGTGCTCCTCTCAGCAAGTTTGCACAAGGAATGCATGTGATAGGGGGGCTGGGGAGATGGCTCAGTGGAATAAGCACTTGCCTGGCAAGGGCCTGAGTTCAATCCCCAGTTCCACCAAAAAAAAAAAAAAAAAAAAAAAGAATGCATGTGATGATATCTTGCCTCTCGGCTTCTTAGGATCTCCTTTGCCCATGTTTACTTGTTTTCCTCAGTGGGATACAGAGTCGCCCAGCGCCCATCCGGCTCTCACTTGCCCCATTGCTGTCTCTATGGAGCTCAGTCTTTTTTTTTCTTTTGTGGTGAGGCATTTGATATTAAATCCTGCAAGATGTTGTTTTCCCCTTCATACCTAGCATGCATCTCTAAAAATACACTCATTTGCATTCACAACCAAAATGTCATTCTCACACCTATGACAAGTACATACCTGATGCCAATTGCTGGCATCACTTAATACTTATACAGTTATCTAAGTTTCTTGATTGACTCAGAAAATTTATTTTATAAGGGCCGCCCAAATAGCTCAGCGGATTCAAGTGCCTGCAAGCAGGCGCAGGGGCCAAGGGTTCAATCCCCAGCCCCAGGACACGCCTGAGACTGCAATTGAGACTGGGCATGGTGGTATGTGCC